TCACAAAAAGATTCTCTACGATTTCATAAGAAAAAATAACTAATTTTTTTTTTTTTAAATTCTTGGACACTGGTGCGTGACTCCAGATTTGGGCCTTGGACCCTGAAAGGGTTAATTTGGCCAATTTAACACAAAGTTCAAATTACAGTGGACCCCCGCATAGCGAACTTAATCCGTGCAAGAGGGCTGGTCGTTATGCGAAATGTTCGCTATGCGAATTAATTTTCCCCATAAGAAATAATGGAAATAAAATTAATCCGTGCAAGACACCCAAAAGTATGAAAAAAAATTTTTTTTACCACAAAAAAATGTTAATTTTAGTACACACAAACTGAAAAAGGCATGCACAATTACATGACACTTACTTTTATTGAAGATCTGGTGATGATTGATGGGATGGGAGGAGGGGAGAGAGAGTGTTAGTGTTTAGAAGGGGAATCCCCTTCCATTAGGACTTGAGGTAGCAAGTCCTTTTCTGGGGTTACTTCCCTTCTTCTTTAATGCCACTAGGACCAGCTTCAGAGTCACTGGACTTCTTCGCACAACATATCTGTCCATAGTGGCCTGTACCTCTCGTTCCTTTATGATTTGTCTAAAGTGGTTCACAACAGTGTCATTGTAACAGTCACCAGCACGGCTTGCAATAGCTGTGTGAGGGTGATTTTCATCAAAAAAGGTTTGCACTTCAAGCCATTTTGTACACATTTCCTTAATCTTTGAAGTAGGCAATTCTTCAATTCTCTCTCCCCTCCTTTGAACCAGTTTCCCCAGGTCTGGCCTCTTGCTCTTGAAGTTGATCTATCAGCTCATCATGGTTAGTTTCTTCATTGTCCTCCTCCACCAACTCTTCCACATCCTCCCCACTAACCTCCAACCCCAAGGACTTCCCCAATTCCACAATTGATTCCTCAACTGGTATACTACTCCTCTCAGGGTTAGCCTCAAACCCTCAAAATCCCTTTGTCTACACATTCTGGCCACAGTTTCTTCCAAGCAGAGTTCAAGGTTCTCTTAGTCACTCCCTCCCAAGCCTTACCTATAAGGTTTACACAATTGAGGATATTAAAGTGATCCTTCCAAAACCTCTTTAGAGTCAATCGAGTGTCTGTGGTCACTTCAAAGCACTTTTGAAACAGAGCTTTTGTGTACAGTTTCTTGAAGTTGGAAATGACCTGCTGGTCCATGGGCTGCAGGAGAGGAGTGGTATTAGGAGGCAAAAACTTCACCTTAATGAAGCTCATGTCCCCATAAAGTCGCTCTGCCACGTCTGTAGGATGACCAGGGGCATTTGTCTAACACCAGGAGGCACTTAAGGTCTAATTTCTTTTCAGTTAGGTAATCTTTCACATTGGGGGCAAATGCATGGTGTAACCAGTTATAGAAAAATTCCCTAGTGACCCATGCCTTACTGTTTGCCCTCCACAGCACACACAAATTATCCTTGAGGACATTCTTTTGCCTGAACGCTCTGGGAGTTTCAGAGTGATACACTAATAAAGGCTTAACTTTCCAATCACCACTAGCATTGGCACACATCAACAAAGTAAGCCTGTCTTTCATAGGCTTATGTCCTGGGAGTGCCTTTTCCTCCTGAGTAATGTAGGTCCTGCTTGGCATTTTCTTCCAGAACAGGCCTGTTTCATCACAATTAAACACTTGTTCAGTTCCAGTCCTTCAGTTTCTATGTACTCCTTGAATTCCTGCACATATTTTTCAGGCCGCTTTGTGGTCCGAACTGCAGCCTCACCATGCCGTATCACACTATGGATGCCACTACGCTTCTTAAATCTCTCAAACCAACCTTTGGCTGGCCTTAAATTCACTCACTCATCACTAGTTGCAGGCATTTTTTTAATTAAATCGTCATGCAACTTCCTAGCCTTTTCACATATGATCGCTTGAGAGACGCTATCTCCTGCTAGCTGTTTTTCATTTATCCACACCAATAAGAGTCTCTCAACATCTTCCATCACTTGCGATCTTTGTTTCGAAAACACAGTTAAACCTTTGGCAACAACAGCTTCCTTGATTGCCGTTTTCTTGCCCACAATAGAAGCGATGGTTGATTTTGGTTTCTTGTACAACCTGACCAGGTCGGTGATACGTACTCCACTTTCATACTTATCAATGATCTCTTTCTTCATTTCTATGGGTATTCTTACCCTTTGAGGTGTAGGGTTGGCACTAGAAGCTTTCTTGGGGCCCATGGTCACTTATTTTCCACAATACGAAATATTCCGAGTGTATGCTTGAATGTTACCGCGGAGGCTGGCTGGTAAACAATGGGACGGGCGGCACATGTGAGGCTGGGTGAGGGCTCAGATTGGACGCGTCTCGGACGAAGTTCGCTGAGCGGGTTTTTGTCCACTATGCGGGGCAAAATTTTAGTGAACAAAGCGTTCTCTATGCGGATTGTTCGCTATGCAAGGCGTTCGCTATGCGGGGGTCCACTGTATTCCAATTTCAAAATAGGGTCCAGAATGAACAATGTAGGCATTCCTGGCACTAAACTAACATTTCCTCTGTTCATTAGTTATGTTTTGAGGCTTTACAAATAAATTCCATTTTGATTTTTTATTCACATAATGAATTTTTATTCACACCAAAAAATAGAAGATTTATTGTTATGCAATACTGTAATAATTGTATAAATATCATCACCATATTTGTGAATGTATATTAGACCCACCAGCTGGCGTGTATTAGACGTGTGAGGTCGTTTGTTTACTCTTGAATATCGGCAAAAATTTAACATTTCTGCTACTTTGAGCTCAGTTTCAAGCCATTTCCAGTGCTAAAACCAATCAAAATCATATCTATTTCTGTAATATGTCTTCCATTCTATCAAATGAGACCAAGAAATCGCAAATACAACTATAAAAAACATATGAAAAAACACTGCAAAGTTGCTGTTTTAATCGAAAAATCATGATTTCATTTTTTTTCTCTCATTATACACAGTGTGCTGCAGGATCTGTTTTATGTGGTGCACACATACCACATAGATGTATTCTCTCATATCTAGGCCCAAATGTACCACTCACAGTTTATCAGAGTGAGCTGAGCTCATGGCGTAGATCTATGGTTTGGACCCTGAATGTAAAGCCGTAGATCTACGGGACGGACCCTGAAAGGGTTAACATCTCCCAAAATCTCTCTCTCTCTCCTCTACACTCCTCTCTTCTCCATGTGCATACACACTTATTATGACCCACTTTTTGCATCAGACCCTTATTTTAATCCACATAATCCTTGAATTTATGCATTTTTGTTCCCTCCTCTCTTTCTATAATTGATCTTTCAACATTATTGCTATCCCTTCCTTAGCTCTAACTTTCTCAGATACTTCTGACTTAGCACTTTGAGGGTCAGTCATGTACAAGTACATCATTGCAGCCAGGGTCGGTCACGTGCTTGTACGCCTACTGTCTAGCGCCTTCAAATCTAGTGGAAGAAAGCTGGCAGGCCTACGTATGAAAGAATGGGTCTGTGTGGTCAGTGTGCGCAGTATAAAAAAAAATCCTGAAGCATGCTGTGCATAATGAGAAAAAAAAACTTTGTGTTTTTGGTTTAAAACAGCAACTTTCTAGTGTATTTTCATACGGTATTTAGGGTTGTATTCTCATTTCCTTGGTCTCATTTGATAGAATGGAAGATATATTACAGAATTAGAGATGATTTTGATTGGTTTCACGATGACAAGTACCTTGAAATTGAGCTCAAAGTAGCGGAAATGATTGATTTTTGCCGAGGTTCAAGAGTAAACAAATCAAGCCACGTGTTCAATACACGTCAACTGGTGAGTCTAATATTCTTTCACAAGTGCGCTGATATAATTTATACCATTTTACAATGATGTAGTAGTATACATAACAGAAAACCTATTTTCTGTGAGAATAAAAATTCAAAATGGAAAGCAAAAGTAATGTAAGAGGGGCCTAGAGACTTGAGTAATGAACAGATAAAATGTTATTTTAGTACTATGAATGTCTCTCTTGTTTATCCTGGATCCTATTTAAAAATTGGCATCTTTTGAAATTTGTGTGAAATTGCCCAAATTGCCAATTGCTGACCACTTTATTTGGTAGTTGAAATTGGTAAATAGGTGGATTCTTGTATTGAATCGATAGAAGAAATGGAGTTCTAGGGAAACAGCTATGATTTTAGTCAACTGCAACATTGGAACTGGCCAAAAATAGGGCTCAAAGTGGGTGAAATTGCGCATTTTGAGACAGCTAACTTCGTGAGAGCATAATTCCATAAGTTTTCCATCAAATTTCATACTTTTGGTGTCATTATGATTGGAAAAAGATTCTCTATCATTTCCCAAGAAAAAATAATTTTTTTTTTTAAATTTTTCGACCCTGAGAACGAGTTTGGGAGAGGGTCTCTCAACCCTCAAAGGGTTAATACCATTTATTTCTCCCCACTGAAACTCCCCTACCCCCTTTTTAGGACATCCAACTTATTTTCATTCATAACATTATCAATCATTTCTTTCTTATCATCTGCACTACATCCATGCACATTTAAACATCCCAGTTTTATAAAGTTTTTCTTTTTCTTGTTTTTAGCAGTTTATACAGGAGATGGGGTTACTTGCCCATTACTTACCTTAAGGGGTTACTATGCTATCTTAAGCAAAAAAAAAAAAAAAAACCTAGCTAGTACTATCCTAGATGGAGAAAAATGAGAAGGAACAATGTCTTGATAGACTACTATGTGACATAACACCATGTGGTATAATTTGCTCGAAGCTATGAATCACTTACTAAAAAAGATAAGTCTATGACGTTATTCCAAAGAGTATCAATGCTATAGACAACAGAGACAATAAGTTTTCACATTAAAAAGAACTAAGGTGTTTTAGTGAGCAGAGGTGGAGGAGTTTCACTGAAATTACAATATAAAAAATAGAGCACTAATTTTGGAAAATAAAACCAATATAGCATCACAACATTTCATAACACATCCAACCCTCAGACAAAATGAGTATTCACCAATATTTTCAGGTACTTGTCCTCAACATGCGACATGTGCTTCAGTATGCACATGACAACAGGGCGGAGGGCTTTAATTTTGATGACAGGAAAGCTTTTGGTGAGCAGCTCTTTCAGTTTACGATCTCTGTCTCTGCCCTCTCGCTTCCCTAGCTCAGTTATCTGAAATATTAACTTATCTCGGAGCTCCTGTAAAATAAAAAGCACAATTTATTACTGTAATACAAGTTAAAAAATATGTTTGGACTGTATAATATGCTACATTGCTTTTAGCATACAAAATAATGTCCCTACATGTAATGTCCCTGCACGTAATCTGAGGTGCTGTGAATAAACAAGGTGCTCACACTTCGATACAAGGGATTTAGCTGAAGGCCAATGAATGAAGCTGAGTCAGAATGGTTCAGTAAAGACACTGCAAAGCTCCATTAAAGAAAAATGTACTTTAAGTTTATCAGAGTTAATATCATTTACCAGGGTTAATACAGCTTCTCCTCACTTAGCGACATACTTATTTACCGACAACTTGGACTTACGACAGGCTATCTGACCAGTATGCATACCTAAATAATGTATATTAGAGCTGATTTCCTCTTATTCTGTTTATTACAATATACAGTATACTACTGTATAAACATTTAAAAAAACAGTGGACCCCCGCTTAACGATCACCTCCCAATGCGACCAATTATGTAAGTGTATTTATGTAAGTGCGTTTGTACGTGTATGTTTGGGGGTCTGAAATGGACTAATCTACTTCACAATATTCCTTATGGGAACAAATTCGGTCAGTACTGGCACCTGAACATACTTCTGGAATGAAAAAATATCGTTAACCGGGGGTCCACTGTATATCAGAAATGTTATAAATGGTGCAAAGGTGACATTAAAACAATATCAAACCCACTAGCACTAGCAAAGAATTCGTTTACTAATGTGGTCTTAAGAATAGAACTCTGTTGTTAAGTGAAGAGAAGCTGTATTACAATACTAAATCAATAACATTTTTATGCTCTTTCTTCAACACACCAGACGTATCCCACCGAGGCAGGGTGGCCCAAAAGGAAAAACGAAAGTTTCTCCTTTTACATTTAGTAATATATACAGGAGAAGAGGTTACTAGCCCCTTGCTCCTGGCATTTTAGTCGCCTCTTACAACATGCATGGCTTATGGAGGAAGAATTCTGTTCCACTTCCCCATGGAGATAAGAGGAAATAAACAAGAATAAGAACTAGAAAGAAAATAGAAGAAAACCCAGAGGGGTGTGTATATATATGCTTGTACATGTATGTGTAGTGTGACCTAAGTGTAAGTAGAAGTAGCAAGACGTACCTGAAATCTTGCATGTTCATGAGACAGAAAAAAGGACACCAGCAATCCTACCATCACGTAAAACAATTACAGGCTTTCGTTTTACACTCACTTGGCAGGACGGTAGTACCTCCCTGGGCAGTTGCTGTCTACCAACCTACTACCTGAGATTTTTATGTTCATAGTCAATAAATCAATCAATTAATCAAGAATTACTTCCATATGATCATTTGTGGAAAACTGGATGACATTACATCAATCACATGGAAAGCCCCTTACTTATGCAGATCATTTTGGGCAAGCTTAATCCTAACTTACATCTAGGACTACATATATGTATGTACAGTGGAACCTCAAATTTCGAACTTAATCCGTTCCAGGAGCTAGTTCTAAATTCAAAAAGTTTGAAAAGAGAAGCAATATTTCCCATAAGAAATAATGGAAATACAATTAATCCATTCCAGAAAACACAACACACAACAAATATAGTGTACAATTATGCATTAATAAATTTAAATAAACACATAAAATAACATTTTTACTTACCTTTATTGAAGATTGGTGATGGCATCTGGAAGATAGAGAGGAGGAGAGAGGGAGTTAGGGTTAGTGTTTGGAAGGGGAATCCCCCTCCATAACCAGCCTCTGTTGGCCTTAAATTCACTATCAGCACTGGTTCCAGGAGTTTTCTGTACCAGATCGGCATGCAACTTCCTTGCCTTTTCACAAATAATCGTCTCTGAAACACTATCACCTGCCATCTCTTTATCCTTGATCCACACCAGCAACAACTTCTCAACCTGATCGACTGTCCATTGGCTTTTTTTGGTTAGCACATTAACACCTTTCGCAACATCAGCTTACTTGATTTGTTCTTTCTTTGCCTTGCCAGGATAGAAGCGATGATCGACTTGTGTTTCCCCATACATCCTGGCAAGCTCAACAAGTTTCACACTGCTCTCATACTTCTGTATTATTTCCTTCTTCACATCTATGGTGTTTCTCACTTTCTTTACCCTTCTTTGTCTTTTAATGCCACTAGGACCAGCTTGAGAGTCACCGGACCCCTGTTGCACAAAATATCTGTCCAGAGAGCTCTGTTTCTGGAGGCTCTTTAAGATTTCCCTGAAGTGGGACAAGGTTCTTTCACGGAACCTGTTGCAGATGTAGCTTGTTTCAGCTTGGTCAGGGTGATATTCTTCAGCAAAAGCTTGCACCCTAGTCTACATTGCACAAATCTCCTTAATCTCTCAAGAAGGCACCTCCTTCACTCCCTCTTCCTCCTCCTCTGAAGCAAGTTCCTGAGCTGTGGTCTGTTGCTGTTCCAGATGAAGCTCTTGCAGCTCTTCAATGGTTAGCTCTTCTCTGTGGTCCTCCACCAACTCTTCCACATCCTCACCACTAACCTCCAACCCCATGGACTTGCCCAGAGATACAATGGATTCCACAAGAGGCATAGGGTCCTCAGGGTTAGCCCCAAACCTTTCAGAATCCCTCTCTCAGACACACTTCAGCCACAATTTTCTCCATGCAGAGTTCAAAGTCCTGGAAGTCACTCCCTCCCAAGCCTTACCTATAAGGCTTATGCCATGGAGGATATTGAAGCGATTCCTCCAGAATTCTCTTAGGGTCAAATGTGTGTCCGAGGTCACTTCAAAGCACCTTTGAAACACTGCTTTGGTGTATAGTTTTTTGAAGTTAGAAATGATCTGCTGGTCCATGGGCTGGATGAGAGGAGTGGTGTTAGAAGGCAAGAACTTCACTGTGATGAAGCGGAATTCCAAAGACAATAGGTCTACCAAGTTTGGAGGATGAGCAGGAGCACTGTCCAGTACCAGTAGGCACTTGAGTAGTAATTTATGTTCCTGGAGGTATTTTTTCACACTCGAGCCAAACACATCATTCGCCCCCTCTTTTGAAAATTTGCCTTGTGACCCATGCATTATTCTTAGCCCTCCACATCACACACAATTTACTCTTGAAAACACTGTGTTTCTTGAACACTCTGGGATTTTCAGAGGGATACACCAGTAAAAGCTTCACTTTGAAATCCCCAGTAGCATGAGCACAGAACAAAAGAGTAAGCCTATCTTCCACAGGCAGGGTCTTATCCTCCTGCGTAATGTAGATTCTCTTTGGCATTGTCTTCCAAAACAGGCCTGTTTCGTCACAATTGAACACTTGTTGGGGGAGGAATCCTTTAGCCTCTATGTACCCTTTGAAATCTTGCACAAATTTTTCAGCAGCACATTTATCAGAACTTGCAGCCTCTCCATGCCTTACCACACTATGTATGTCACTGTGCTTCTTAAATCTCTCAAACCAGCCTTTGCTGATCCTAAATTCACTAACAACAGTGCTTGTTCCAGGCATTTTATTTACAAGGTCTGCATACAACTGCTTTGCCTTCTCACAAATCATTGATTCCACAACACTATCTCCCGCTAATTGTTTTACCTTGATTCACAACAATAATAACTTTTCCATATCTTCCAGTATTGGTGACCTTTGTTTCGTTATCACATTTACTCCTTTCGCAACATCAGCTTCTTTAATTTTTTCTTTCTTTATAACGCGATTATTTGGTGTTCTGGTAGCGGGGAGTAAATGATACGTCTTCGGAGGCTTCTTACTTTATTGTTAAGTCGTGGTGGGTACACAGGCCTGTGTGTTGTGCCCATGGCCCGGGCAGGGCCATCCCACGAGAGAGAGCTAGGAGTAGGCCTTGTGTCTTCCTGGTAGGCCGCTGTGAGAGTCAGAGTGAGGCAAGGGCAGGCAGGCTGAAGTGGCAACACCTATAGGTGGCAGCACTTGAGTGGCGCGAAATATGAACTAAGCTGGCAGACAGCATGGGCTGTCTGTGCAGACAGTGCAGGCTGTCTACATCTTTGCCAGGATGGAAGTGATGGTAGATTTGTTTTTCCCATACATCCTGGCAAGTTCCAACAATCGCATGCCACTCTCAAATTTTTCAATCACTTCTCTCTTAACCCGTAAACGGTCCAAATGTATATATACGTTTTTTCAACATTTGATAGTATGTAAAAAAAAGTAGCTCGTCTTCTTTTTTTTTTTTTTTACAATTGAAAACACGTAAAAAAACTTTTATCTACGTTTTTTTTTTTCATTTTATTTGAAAATATGTAAAAAAACGTAGATCTACTTTTGGAGCACTATACATGTGAATGTAGATCTGCTTGGACCGTTTACGGGTTAAATTCCATTATGTTCCTCACTTTCTTTACCACGGGAACTTTCTTTGGAGCCATGCTTACTTATTTCACAGTGTGCACCAGGGTCCAAGAATTTTCAAAAAATAATTTTATTTTTCCTTATGAAATGGTAGAGAATCTGTTTCTGAAGGTAATAAAACAAAAAGTACAAAATTTGATGGAAAACTGACAAAATTATGCTCTCGTGAATTTTAACGAGTCAGCGATATTTATGCATCGGCGATTTTGCCGAATTTGACTCCCATTTCAGGCCAATTATAGTATTCCAGTCGACCTAATTCTTAGCTATTTCACTAGTATTACTTCTATTCTATTGATTGAGCACAAGAAATTGCCAAGTCAACTGTTTCAACAACAAAATAAAGTGAACGGAAATTGGTAATTTGGCCAATTTAATGCAAAGTTCAAAATATTCCAATTTCAAAAAAGGGTCCAGAATAAACAATGCAGGCATTCCTGGCACTAAACTAACATTTCCTCTGTTCATTAGTTATGTTCCTAGGCTTTGCAAATGGATTCCATTTTGATTTTTTATGAATATATGAATTTTTATTCAAACTAAAAAATAGAAGATTTACTGTTATGCAATACCGTAATAATTGTATAAATAATATAACCACATTTGTGAATGTATATTAGACCCACCAGCTGTCATGTATTAGACTTGTGAGGTCATTTGTTTACTCTTGAACATCGGCAAAAATTTAACATTTCTGCTATTCTGAGCTCAGTTTCAAGCCATTTTCAGAATGAAAATCACTCAAAATCATCACTATTGCTGTAGTATATCTTCCATTCTATCAAATGAGACCAAGAAATTGCAAATACAACTATAAAAAACATATGAAAAAACACTGCAAAGTCGCTGTTTTAATCGAAAATTACAGTCTCAGCACTGCAAAGTCGCTGTTTTAATCGAAAATTACGGTCTCAGTTTTTTTTCTCTCATTATGCACTGTGTGCTGCAGGATTTGTTTTATGTGGTGCACATATACCACATAGATGTATTCTCTCATATCTAGGCCCAAATGTACTGCTCACAGCTTATCAGAGTGAGCTGAGCTCATGGCATAGATCTACTGTTTGGACCCTGAACGTAAAGCCGTAGATCTATGGCACGGACCCTGAAAGGGTTAATAACAAAGAAAAACACTGATTTATAGCAAAATGTTTGGATGAATGAGCAGAAGCTTCCTCACTCAGCCAGCAATACAGCTACACTGACTCAGGAACACGCGAGCGTCACCGGCCAATAAGCGTCCAATATGGCCGATAAGCGAAATAATGGCTGATAACGGAAGCCAAAAAACCGGTTGATAAGCGAGTTGGCCGATAAGCAGAACGGCTGATAACTGAGGGTTCACTGTATTAGACAAGAGATAGCCAGTGGCCGTAATGAAGCGTCTCTCTGTGCACATAAAAAGAATGAGGTAAATATGAGTATGTGTGATGACTGAGTGATTTCCTGACTGACTGACTGACTGACTGACTTGAATGACTTGACTGACTGACTTGACTGATTTACTGACTTACTGACTGATTTACTGACTTACTTAACCCTTTGACTGTCGCAACCCCAAAGCCTGAGGCGTCTCCTGGTGTTGCAAATTCCCCCCCCCCCCAAAAAAAAAATTACTTTTGCTTATGAAATGATAGAGAATCTTTACCCGATTGTAATGCCATCAAAAGAACAAAATTTTATGGAAAACTGACTAAATTACGCTCTTGCGAATTTAGCGACCTCAGCGATATTTACAAATCGGCGATTTTGCCCACTTGGAGCCCTATTTTCGGCTAATTCCGTTGTTCCAGTCAACCAAACTCATAGCTATTTCTTTAAAACTACATTTTTTCTATCGACTGAGTACAAGAAACTGCCCATTTACCGATTTCAACTACCCAATAATGTGGTCAGAAATCTGCAATTTGGCCAATTTCACAAAAATTAAAAAAATATGACAATTTCAAAATAGGGTCCAGAATGAACAATGCAGACATTCCTGGCCCTAAAATAACATTTTCTTTGTTCATCGGTCACGTCTCCAGGCCCCTCTGATATTACTCTTGCTTTCTATTTTGAATTTTTATTCAAACAAAAAATAGAAGATGTACTGTTATGCAGACTACTGCAATATTGTAATAATTGTATAAATAATGTCAACCCCATTCATGACTGCATATCAGAATGGCTACTTTGAGCTTCATTTCAAGGTCCTTTTCATAAGTAAAACCAATCAAAATTACCTCTATTTCTATAATATGTTTTCCATTCTATGAAATGAGATCAAGAAAACAAGAATACAACCATAAATACTATATGAAAATAGACCACAAAGTTGGCATTTTAATTTAAAAAATGGCCGGAGTTTTTCATTTCTCATTATGCACTGCGTGCTCCAGGATTTTTTTTATATGGTGCACACTGACCCCACAGACCCATTCTCTCACATGTGGGTGTACCAGCTTTCTCCTGCTTGATTTGAAGCCGCTAGAATTTATGAGTAGATATACGTCAAAAACGGTGGCTCGTAATGTATATATATGACCAAAACAGTCAAAGGATTAACTGACTGACTTACTGACTGACTGTATTACTGACTGACTTACTGAGTATATTACTGACTGACTTACTGAAAGACTTAACTTACTAACTTTAGTGACTGACTTGCTGCCTGACTTACTGATCTGATTGATTTACTGACTGATTGACTTGACTGATTTACTGACTGACTTAAAGTTAGATTTTTTTTTACTGAAGAGGACCCTGAAATGGTGTCTAGAGCAGCTGATGCCTTATCGTCACTTTTATAATGTACTGCAGGGTAAAATAGAACAGAAATCCATTACAGAATTTATGCACATTCCAGTACAACCATCGACTTCAGTACCAGTATGTTTGCCATCCACCTCAGCCCAGTAATGCCACAGCATAACTCTCCACTCTCCACAATCACCCACAAACACCAGCACCCACAATTTAAGGTAAGAAATACAGTGGACCCCCGCATAACGATCACCTCCGAATGTGACCAATTATGTAAGTGTATTTATGTAAGTGCGTTTGTACGTGTATGTTTGGGGGTCTGAAATGGACTAATCTACTTCACAATATTCCTTATGGGAACAAATTCGGTCAGTACTGGCACCTGAACATACTTCTGGAGTGAAAAAATATCGTTAACCGGGGGTCCACTGTACTATTATTTCTGTTGCATTTGTAATCTTAAGCAGTAAAACCAACATAATACATCACGACAATGAACAATTACATATTCACTTTTATTTTTGTAAGATCTGGAGGTCTAAAAAAAGTTATTTGACTTTCTTGGGGCTCCCAGGAACATGATCCTATTTTTCCCTTAAGTTCTTTAGTTTGTCTACCACGATTTTAACTAAAACAGCATTTTCAGGAACACAACTACCATGTTAAATGACAGTCTACTGAACACACAATTTATAATACAGAATAATAAAAAATTGCTGAACATTATTAACATGATGCACATGGGCCCACACAGAGGAGACAATATAGTTCATGAGTGCATACAGGTGCTCCTCAACTTACAATGGGGTTATATTCTGACAAACCCATTGCAAGCCAAATGTGAATGATATACTAAATAAATAACTACAGTCAGTAAATAAGCAAATAAACAAATAATTATTGTAACTAACAAAATACCAGTATTGTATTGTAAATAAATGAATACAAGTTACAGACCTGTCACTTTCATGCTAGATAATTATTTTAAGTTTCATCTCCAAAGTAATTGCTTTTGCATCATCGTAAAGTTGAAATATCATAAGTTGAGCCATAGGAAGTTGAGGAACACCCGTACATGATACTGTATCTTCTATTTTATTGTCTCCAAGTGGGTTTATTTGTGCCACTGCCAACAGTTTATTACACTTTTGTGTTTAGATGAGTATTTTTACAGAAATCACCAGATTACACACCTCCATAATAGAATTGTGAAAATCAAGTCGCTTTACACCATGCAGGTCCAAAAGGTGCAGCATGGGCCTCAGTGATGGCAGGAGGATACCATTTTCTACCTATAAAGGAAAAATATAAGTAACAAATATGCAGAGACAATAAAAATAAATGGAAAAGGGCCTACAGTACACAAGGTAGCAGAATTATTTAAATGGCAATCAGAAGCTTTTTATGCATGCATTGAGTAAAAGATTACCTACATGATTAAATATTTGTAGTGACAGGGGCCAAGCTATGCTCATGAAGTCCCACTTCAGTGTTTAATCCATCAAATAAATTTTAGAAATTTTCAGTGGTTATAGCACATAAGGCCTGCCTCCTCTTGAATCCCTTTCCAGTGTTCTGAAGTCTTTTTGAAACATCTTTAATTTTCATTTTTAGTTGTTCTTAATAAATCACATTTGTTACATCTTAATGTTACTTTGCAGAGTGTTTCTGAATTTTTTCTATCTTATCGATATGTTTCTTGCATAGACACAACAATACTCAACTAAATCCTGATTTTGGCCTAACATAAGTTGGGAAAAGTTTTTGTAGCTATTATAAAGTTAGGCAGTGTGGAACAGGGTAGCTTCATACTGTATTTCATTTATGTGGTCCTCCAATAACAGAATTTTGTCTACAATTACTACTAGGTCCCTTTCTTTGTCTGATACTTTCAATATTTCACCAACATTTATAATCTTCATGTGGGACCTTTGATATATCTTTACCTTTGATGAGTTGCGAGAGTCTTTCTACTCCTGGAGCCCGGCCATGGGCCAGGCTCATCTGGTGCTAGCCTGGTCAATCAGGCTGTTGCTGCTGGAGACCCACAGCCTGGTTGATCTGGCACCTGGTGAAGATACTTGTCCAGTTTTCTCTTGAAGACTTCTACACTTGTTCCACCAGTGTTTCTGACATCTTCTGGTAAGATGTTGAATAATCTGAGGCCACAGATGTTGCTAGAGTGGCAGGTTTTTGTTTTCTCCCATTTCTATTACATGCCATTTATCAATATTAAATTCTATTATTCATCTATTATTCCATTTAGAAAATTTACCCTAGTCATCTTGTAGAAAATTACATTAAACTTTATTACTACTTTGCATACTGATATAAATTTTATGTTATCTGCAATCATGATCATGTGATTTTTATGCCTTCCTAAAAATAATGCAGTACAGGTCCTCCATCACAAATCCGGCAATCAGTTATTCAGTTCCTTCAGTTATTCGGCACTAATTTTGGCTAGCATAATTTCAAATTTCCAGGGTCGCCACACCAACCTGCTGCTACTGTTTGGTGGCGCTACTTGCTGCATAAGTCATTCCAGTTTCTTTTACTCCATTTACTGTTTTAACCTGCTTACTTTTAGCCCTAGCCATGGTTCCAATGAATAAAAGAAATGCTTCTCATTATGTAAAGCACTGACACAGTACATTATCCATTAAAGATAAGGTGGCTTTGAAGCCACTGTTGGTTGTCATGAGCTCAGTCTCATGAAGCAGGAGAATATGTTTTATTATTACTCTAATATCAACACTACAGCTTATTTGCCTATCACAACTGATCTAATATGGCATAATAAACAATATAAATAACATAAAATATGTTAAATACTCCAGAATAAATAATATTTGGCATAACACCAAGCAGTTCAACGGAGGTATGAAGAGGATATGGTATACAAGTACCATTCTCCTATCCCTGTCTTGGGGGCTTATATTAGAGAAAACGGAGTATAACACAGGGCTAACTGTGATATACACTCGTACTGCACCATAAACCTGAAACAAAAAAGTTATTTTCTCTATATAGATTATCACAGCATATGTGTAAATAACCTAGGATAACCCAAAAAAGTTAACATGGCTTATTTCTAGTACCTGGCTTGGGTAAGCCATATATGATTTTTGGTAAATATTCGATTCCCAGCCAGGGTAGAAACATTAGGCGTGTTTCTTTACACCTGTTGTCTATGTTTACCCATCAGTAAATGGGTACCTGGGTGTTAGCCGACTAGTGTGGGTGTTATCCTGGGACACTAACCTAATTTTCTTGAAATACTCAGCATAACAAGCGGCTTTCTATATAGTAGTATGTCACTGATGTCAGCTAGGCCTGTATACCTTGTACATGTGCGTGTAGTAAATAAAGATATTATTATTATTATTATTATTATTATATTATTATTTTCTCATTTGTTTGTTGGGTTATCTTATTCATACTTGGGCAATATATATGATGGAAAGATACTTCTTAACGTACACCAAAAATGAAAGAAATCAGACCATAAATAGCGGAGTTCACTTCTCAGCCATTAGCGGCCGCTTAGCGGTATATTTTTACATGTTTTTTATGGTTATATTCTCATTTTTTCGGTCTCATTTGATAGAATGAAAGATATACTGCAGAAATAGATATGATTTTGATTGCTTTCATGATGAAAAGTGCCTTGAAATTGCGCTCGGTGGCATGGCCCGGTGGCCTGGTTGGTGGCCCGGTGGCCTGGTGGCTAAAGCTCCCGCTTCACACACGGAGGGCCCGGGTTCGATTCCCGGCGGGTGGAAACATTTCGACACGTTTCCTTACACCTGTTGTTCTGTTCACCTAGCAGCAAATAGGTACCTGGGTGTTAGTCGACTGGTGTGGGTCGCATCCTGGGGGACAAGATTAAGGACCCCAATGGAAATAAGTTAGACAGTCCTCGATGACGCACTGACTTTCTTGGGTTATCCTGGGTGGCTAACCCTCCAGGGTTAAAAATCCGAACGAAATCTTATCTTATCTTATCTCATAGTAGCGAAAATATTCTATTCTTTAGCGAAGCTCAAGAGCAAACAAATGACATCACCATCCAATACCTGTCCGCCTGCCAGTCCAAATTCCAACAAGGAGTCAAGAATGGGTTGACATTATTTATACAATTATTACAATAATGCAGCAGTTTGCATAACAGTAAATCTTCTATTTTTTTGTGAATAAAAACTCCAAATGGTAAGCAAAAGTAATATAAGAGGGGCTTGTAGCCGTGACTAATGAACAGAGAAAATGTTATTTTAGTGCCAGGAATGTCTGCATTGTTTATTCTGAACCATATTTTGAAATTGGCATCTGTTGAAATTTGTGAGAAATTGGCCAAATTGCTAATTTCTGACCACTTTATTGGATAGTTGATAGAAGTAAATAAGTTTATTCAGGTATACACAAATACAGTTACACAGATTATCATACATAGCAGCATATGTATAGATAACCTAGGATAACCCAAAAAAGCCAAAGTGACTTATTTCCAGTACCTGGCTTGGGCTTGCCATATATGACTTTTGGTAAATATTGTTTTTTTCTCAGTTATTTGTTTGGCTATCTTAATGAAACTTGGGCAATGAATGATGGAAAGATGCTTCTAAAGTACAACAAAAATAAAAAAAGATGGACAATAAACACGGGAGTTCACTTCTCAGCCATTAGCCGCCTCTTTACAGAATATTTTCGAATGGTTTTTATGGTTGTATTCTCATTTTTTTGGACTCATTTGATAGAATGGAAGATATATTACAGAAATAGACATGATTTTAAGTGCTTTCATGACGAAAAGTACCTTGAAATTGAGCTCAAAGTAGCGGAAATGTCTGATTTTTGCCGATGTTCAATGAACTTTGTGCAAGTCAAGTCGGTTAATTTTATTAAGTGTATTCTAACCTAACCACTCTGTAATCCGGCACACTACAGGTCCCAATGATGCCGGATTTGTGATGGAGGACCTGTATATAAATCAGCAACAATGAAAGGCAAGTACACATCCTTGAGTGAGTGAGTGAGTGAGTGTGTGTGTGTGTGTGTGTGTGTGTGTGTGTGTGTGTGTGTGTGTGTGTGTGTGTGTGTGTGTGTGTGTGTGTGTGTACTCACCTAGTTGTACTCACCTAGTTGAGGTTGCAGGGGTCGAGTCCAAGCTCCTGGCCCCGCCTCTTCACTGGTCGCTACTAGGTCACTCTCCCTGAACCATGAGCTTTATCGTACCTCTGCTTAAAGCTATGTATGGATCCTGACTCCACTACATCGCTTCCCAAACTATTCCACTTCCTGACTACTCTGTGGCTGAAGAAATACTTCCTAACATCCCTTTGATTCATCTGTGTATTCAACTTCCAACTGTGTCCAGTCTCTGGAACATCCTGTCTTTGTCCACCTTGTCAATTCCTCTCAGTATTTTGTAAGTCGTTATCATGTCCCCCCTACCTCTCCTGTCCTCCAGTGTCGTCAGGTTGATTTCCCTTAACCTCTCCTCATAGGACATACCTCTTAGCTCTGGGACTAGTCTTGTTGCAAACCTTTGCACTTTCTCTAGTTTCTTTACATGCTTGGCTAGGTGTGGGTTCCAAACTGGTGCCGCATACTCCAATATGGGCCTAAAGTACACGGTGTATAGGGTCCTGAACGATTCCTTATTAAGATGTCGGAATGCTGTTCTGAGGTTTGCCAGGCGCCCATATGCTGCAGCAGTTATTTGGTTGATGTGCGCTTCAGGAGATGTGCCTGGTGTTATACTCACCCCAAGATCTTTTTCCTTGAGTGATGTTTGTAGTCTCTGACCCCCTAGACTGTACTCCATCTGCAGTCTTCTTTGCCCTTCCCCAATCCTCATGACTTTGCACTTGGTGGGATTGAACTCCAGGAGCCAGTTGCTGGACCAGGTCTGCAGCCTGTCCAGATCCCTTTGTATTTCTGCCTGGTCTTCGATCGAATGAACTCTTCTCATCAACTTCACGTCATCTGCAAACAGTGACACCTCGGAGTTTATTCCTTCCGTCATGTCGTTCACAAATACCAGAAACAGCACTGGTCCTAGGACTGACCCCTGTGGGACCCCACTGCTCACAGGTGCCCACTCTGACACCTCACCTCGTACCATTACTCGCTGCTGTCTTCCTGACAAGTATTCCCTGATCCACTGCAGTGCCTTCCCTGTTATTCCTGCTTGGTCCTCCAGTTTTTGCACTAATCTCTTGTGTGGTACTGTGTCAAACGCCTTCTTGCAGTCTAAGAAAATGCAATCCACCCACCCCTCTCTCTCTTC